AATCCATCAGACAGGAGAGCTGTTTAATTCAGTCTCTTTTTGACATAATCTCTCTCTCTCTCTCTCACACACTGTCTAAGAGAGAGCGAACGAGTGAGACAGGATGAATGCAACAGCAGACATTTATTCTCAGACACTCACTGTTACTTTTCTATATATACAAATGTCGAATGGACATTTACTTTCAATTTCTATCCATAAAATGTTTATAATATGAAGTACACATGCAAATACATCATAATTCTGTAACATACTTACTTTCTTTGGGATATTATCAACATTTTTACGAAGAAGACAAGCTTTGAAAATCGGCTTGACATGTTTAAAGGCCTTATGCTGTTTGAATTCATAAAAGAGACATTTGAAGTTTGAAGGAATGTAGGCCTTGCTGTGGTTACTGAGGTTTACTGAGTGGTTTCTAGGCAGTTGTTAGGGTGTTCTGACAGAGACAGATAGATCCCAACTCCTTTACTATAGGAAAAATGAAAATAAATTTGAGTGTCAGTTACAGAAGAAAAGTTGAGTTTTGAAGTAAACCTCCCTCGCCAACTAAATGAATAACGAATACACTGAATAAACCGATAAATAAATTATTGATTTTAATAGTGCATGATATTAAAGATAAAATGATCTTTTGATTCAAGTAAAACTTCATATAAGTTTCCTTTAGAAATTTCACATCAAAGGAGATTTCTAAAAAAATCTAATGCTAAGTGAATCTTAGATATTAGTTGTGCTGCAGAAGTATCTGAAAAAGGTTGAAGACCCCGATCTAAAAGAACCATTGTGCAGCCAGGCTTGTACTAATTTAGATTTTATCATCTTATTTGTGGGTGTGGGCTAATTTTACAAAAACAAAGTGAAAAAATGTAATAATTGTTCATAACCAGCATCGGAAACTGGTATCCAGTTCCTGTACAATTTTAGTGATGAGGAAATCAGTTCTATTTGATGTCATTTTTCTAGTTCACCAAAGGATTTGTCTGAAAATCTTCAAAGCTCTCCCTCATCGTCTATGATTTAACGTTAAGGGATTAGGTGAGGTTAACTGTGTTTTACAGCAGAACAGATACTGTGAAATCTAGAGCAGACATGCTCAGATCAGTTAACTGAAAAAAAGCAAAATGTTCCACGCATTCACAAACTATTGCAAATAATCTGTTAAAAGCCACTTCTTTCCTTTATTAAAAAAGACAGTGATTTGGCAGGTTTCTGTGTAAAGATGTTTGCACACCTTCATTTCGTACACAACTTATTTCAATTGTATATCTGCTCCAATCGTTCAGAGAAATCTTATTCTGTAAACCAAACGTCATATTTTAAGTAACATCTCTGTTACTTAATAAAACATCATTAAATAATTAAAATGTATTAAATAACAATTAAACATTGCATATTGGCAGTGTCGGAGGTAATCAGGTTTTGTAATCAGATTACTTTTTTTAATTAACTACTAAAGTAACACATTACCTTTAAGTTAACAATGAAATAGAGTTTTTTGTTTAAAAAAACAACAACAACAACAACAAATAAGTAAGCCCAGCCTAGGTGACAAAAAGTACCGCAAAAGTAATGTAATGCATTACTTTCCAAAAAAAGTAACTAAGTAAAACAAGTAGTTACTTTTTTATGGAGCAACACAGTATTGTTATGCATTATTTTTAAAAGTAACTTTGACCAACACTGCATATTTTTTTAATACAAGCGCTATAAAGGAGACTAGCTCCATAAAGGGCTAATGGTGCGTTCAAGTCATGTCGGATAGATTGTATTTACGAGTTGAACGCACATGAATGCCACCACAAAGTCGTTATTATGAGTGGGAAACTCGAAATTTTCTTTAAGCCCCGAGTTTCTGAGTTGGGGGCGTGTCAATGAGAATCATGGCAGAATCGATGGATGCAACGTCTGTAGTTGACGGTAAATTTTTGTTTAAATTGATAGTTTACTTAAATTGGTCATGTTCTTGTTACGCAGCTGAAATCCAAGTAAAAAAATGCAGACCCTGTTGTATTTTCTTGTAATTTATTAAAAGAAGGTTGACTTGACTAAACTGACTTGAACGCACCTGACGTCATAATTACGACTTGTCAACTCGTAAGTACGAACGTCCCAGGAGGACTTGAACGCAGCATAATTATCACACTTTTTACTCCAGTTCATTTTTCAAATTCAAAAGTTCAAATGTTTACAATATCTGTATTCTATTTGTATTTCTGTTACATTGTTAGTTTACCATGCTAATACTTTACTGAATACAGTATATTTGTATGGCACATTGCGTTGCTACCTTATAAGACAGCATCCTATGCAGGCAGTAAACAGCACACTAGGGTTTGGAACAGACCTCTGTCCACTGAGGGGTTCTGTATAACTTCAAATGGTCCCTGATCTTCAGATAGTAAAGCAAAAGTACTGTCAAGAGACAGAGACACAGCTTCAGATCTACACACACACAGCTCTCACTCATCATCACTCTTTCAGCCTGAAGGACAGCGGTGACTCAGCCCTGACTGTCCACCAGCAAACCACTCTCAAGAAACATGCGGAGCTCTTTTCACATATGAATGAAAGACAGAGAGGTTTCCAGGCAGTGATCTGTAGCCATTAAGTTTGAGCCTGGAACCCCTCAAGTCATTTGACTTAAAAGCCAGCTGACGTCTGTCTGTCTTTATTCAACAGAAGAAGGGCAAATCTGAAGCCAATGTGAAGTCAAGGATCACATGGTGAGCAACGCTGACCCCATACGTCATTCCCCCGGAACTGCTTCTGTCCGCTGAGTGGCATTAAACAGCTTGAAAGATCAAAGACAATTTTTAATATATCTCCGACTGGATTCATCTGAAAGAAGAAAGTCATATACACCTAGGATGACTCGAGGGTGAGTAATTTATGGGCTAATTTAAATTTTTGGGTGAACTAACCTTTTAAGACTGGTTTTGTGCTCCAGGGTTACATATGTATTTTGTGTGTGTGTATATATATATACAGTGGGTACGGAAAGTATTCAGACCCCCTTAAAGTCTGAATACTTTCCGTACCCACTGTATATATATATATATATATATGTATATATATATATATACACTGTATAAAATATGAACATGTACTAGTTATTTATTTATATGTATTGTGTGTGTGTGTGTGTGTGTGTGTGTGTGTGTGTATATATATATAAATTAATATACTAATATATACTCCACTCTCAACTGATTTCAGTACAGATTGGTGTTAGAATGAAAATACCATTTTAGAAATAAACATAGAACTTCTTTATCCTATGTAATCCCTAGGTAGGATGGATTTCAATTAACTTGCATCTCAATCATAGAATTGTCTTCTACGCAAAGAATACATACGATACTGACTGAGAACTTGGCCCAAAAAAGTATAGAATCAAGATTTCCACCTTTTGGATGTCTTCACTGTATAAGTGATGCATTAAAATGCTTCCTACATTGACAGCTTATTAGATTTTTGAACAGTCATCTGTATGTAACAGACAAAATATTGTGATGAACAAAAAAAGGTTCAGTTCATTTCTCTGCACCATAGATCAGGAGACGGTGCAAATAGCTGCACATATTCTCAGGTTTTTTTCTGCTTTGGTGTCAAACTGTTTGGAAGGTTTTATGTCAACATCTTATACAGGTGCATCTCAATAATTAAAAGAACCAAAGACTTAAACTACTTCAGTCTGTGTGCATTGAATTTATTTAATACACGAGTTTCACAATTTGAGTTGAATTACTGAAATAAATGAACTTTTCCACGACATTCTAATTTATTGAGATGCACCTGTATACTTTAAGCCTCCTAATTTCACATTCCACATGCGTTCTTTCACTTTTGCTCCTTGTTGTGGGAAAAATAGAGTTAGTGTAGTGTGGAACTATCAGCAAATACCAACTGTGAGAAAATCATCAGTGAACATCTAAACAACCTTGCATTACAAAAACAGGTATGGTTATGAGGAGGAAGAGATGTGTACATGTTAATGAAGAAGTCCTTCTCATCACATTCCCTAATGCAGGGCTCTGGCAGTCAGAAACCCCTAAATGGCCTTATAAAAAAACCCTCCATAAATCGTTTGAACATGCGGTTGTTGTTTCTATCAAGACAAGGACACTGCAGAGACACAAACTGAAGGCTGCATGAATTGGCCTGTAAGTACCGCCACACAAAGACAGTTCAGCAGGGACACGTACAGAGTTTTCAAACACACAGGAATATGGGATTTTCTGTATTTATTCAGTTGGCATTGCATTACAAAAAAGTTTTAGTTACTGGTGTTTAAGTAAGGCATTTATCATATACTGTAAAAGTAACAAACCTTTGTACCTAGTACCTACTGTATAAAAAGTCTTTGGCCAGCAGTATAAATGCTTCCCCAGTATAAAATCAAAGATTAGGCATGTCTTTCACAAGCGGAGTTGTGTATCAAATGCCCACATCTGATATGGCTGTCATCAAATAATTGTGTTTGAAAAAACAGTTAAAAAGCCAGAAAGACACGGTTTATTTACCGGAACATTTTGTGCAAATTGTAACTTTTCTCCCTATAGTCCACTACCATCATCCTTTCATAAAACGTACATGTGAACAAGGTATCTGTAAACAACGTCATTGTGATATTATTTTTTTTTGGGCAGAATGCATGTGCTGCCCTCCAGCGGCAGTAGCTTAAATCTGCATTATGTGCAACTGCTGCCATTAGGCCCAAAGCTCCACACCTACCACATATTTTACACATTAACAACGCAAATTAAGGCATGAATGGCCTCTTTCAATCCAAATCATAATAACAAATTTATCAGATGAAATATATTAAAGGCTGAATATTACAGCTAAGTTAGACTGAAAGAAAGAAACAAAGACTTAATCAAATAAAAAATAATTGGTTTGCTTCAAGGATCACTGAAATTACTTCATTGTGATTTTTTTAATGGAAATGGAGCACATTGCTAAAATATTCTTTCTGATTTATGAACACAACAGTGGTATATTATCTATTTTGTCGAACATTTATACATCGTACTTGTATGGTTTTACTGTAATACAATTACTGTACTACTAAATGATAATCATTTAGAATAATGTGAATTGGAGAAAAGTTAAATGTCTAGATGCACAGTGGTCAGGTGGGATATTTGTTTAACTGTCATGAAAATTGTGTTATAATGCTAAAAACCTTTCCTAATGTATAACATGTTTCATTAAGATTTTTTTTCTTTCCTTGAAATTTTGTGGTAAATTTGATCTGGACATGTTTTTGTGAAATTCACCCAAGAACGAAAAATAAAGGAAACAAATACAGCAGTATGGCTCAGTAAGATAAGACCGTAAAACCTACAAGATTAATAAAAAATGAACCCAGTAACCATAGAATACAGCAGTCTGTGACACCCTTAAATCTTCACTAGATTGTTCCAGCATCATCATTTAAAACAACAAAGGAATTTAATGTGCAATTATTTAAAATTATAGTGTAAACAGGAAAGATTTTCAGCGTTTCAAAAACTCGACAGAATGAATTCTCGTCTTGTTATGCTCAGTGATTCCACACTCGCACACAAGGTCTGGGGTTGCCCACCTCTATGATCTGCTGGGCACTGGGGGGTAATAGACCGGCATGGAGTGATCACACACGCTGAGCTCTGACTGGCCACTGACAGCCACTGCAGGGATGTCATTGCTCCAGATTTCTTCGGTTGACTTTTCGCAGTCGATCAGCTGGAAATCCCTGTCAACGCAGATCTCTATTTGGCCCAAAATCTGAAACTGGCCTCCCTGAGAAATACAGTAAGAAATTAGATTTCACCTTAGCAAAACTGATGGCAAACTATGGTCACTGTGCATCTAACTGTTGCCCTGAGCAGAGCAGTCTCACTCGATATCAAGTCATGAGGAAATCAAAATAGACTTTCATAAAGGAATATGTTCCCCTATTATAAGTCGCTCTGGATAAAAGAGTCAGTTAAGCGCATAAATGTAAATTATGTTGATTACCACAAAAATACATTTGACTTGGCTCTTAATTTCAGAAGTAAAGGAACTTACTTACTTACATTGGGAACATTTTTTAAAGACTTAAAAGCAGAAATGTGAAGCTTACATATAGTTAATTAAAACTTGCAGTATATATTAAGTGAGCCGTTAAGTTTTATGTTTTCATGGCAACAAAGTTGTAAAAGTTGATAGTTAAATTTTATGTAGAAAAGGTTGTGTGATGTTTCCTTGCTAAAATCATAGGTATATACAAGAATCATTGAGTTAAATTTAATACCTTTTAAGACCTTTTTTACGACTCTCTCCATACATTTTAAGACCTCATCGCCACTCCAAGTTTTAACCGGTTACATCGGCGACACGTTAACTTACATTTACTACATATTGATTGTAAGATAGCACAGCTAAACAGACTTACTTTCTGATAACTCCTTATCAATACAACATAATTCAGAAGTGGCGAACGAAGCACAAGAGAATTAACCTCGAGACTAACCAATGCAACCCAAGAAACAATAATTAGACCAATAAACAAAACAACTGACAAAACTTATTGAGGAGGGAAAATAAAGTTCTCCAAGCTAACAGGGCAATGAGTTCACACAGTATATTCAAAAGATGTATTTGTTACATCAACTCAAACCATAGCTGTTTTGTGGAACACTTCTCATGACAAACACCTGACTGATCAGACAGGTTTAACTGTGATTACGGAGTGCTTGATTTGATGCAGACTTGACAGAGTGTCAGTACTGCACCTGATCATGTCTGAATGATCACGGAAGGTAAAATAATGATCACAACTATTACATCATTTTAATTGTGCATCCCAAGCCCATGCCAGTAAAAAAAAACAGCCCAAACTAGCGCAATTATCATGTCCCAAATATAAAAATGTAATTTCCATTCCTAAAATACATATTTTACAGTCATATAAAAATGTCATTTCCATCCCTAAAATACATATTTTACAGTCACTGTTATGTACATTTATCATAAACACAGCTCAAATGCTTCCTACTAGTGTGGCCCAAAACATTTAGCACAGTTTTATTACAGGTAGAATGCAAAATGTTTCAGTACAAGTATTTCAACCAAATGTAATTTATGCAATATTTAAAACCTTTAACCCACTGGGGAAAATCAACCCAATGGCAACAGTTTAAAAAAGCAGCCCAATTTCGTGGAAAAAAACAACAACAACCCAATCGCGGGAGCGGATGGGAGCATGCTGTAATGGTCAGAAATTCAGAGAGAGCAGGATCAACAAGCCCCGCGCTATCACGCAGCAGCGCAGTCAGTCAGTGAGCGCAGTAACAGATGAAGTCAAATCTTGCAGGATTCCATAAATAAAATACACAGAACCCCACTATTCGACAAATATACATAATGAAAAGATGATACAAAATGTAATACCTTGGAAAATGCATTTAAGACTTTAATACTTTTTAAGGGCCTTAATTTTCTCTAAATTGATTTGTCAACTTTTAATACTTTTTAAGACCCTGCGGACACCCTGATACTACTCCTGAAATGCCCATTTATGGATCAAACCCATTCACTTCCATTGTAAATGCCTCTCTGTAACAGACATATTTAAAGAAAAGAAGGGGCAAGTCAAAATTATTATTTTTTTTTTTGTGGTAATCACCAGTATGTCACTGTTGTGCTGTTAATGGAATATTTAATACACTTTCCTTTTTGTGTTCTTGTCTTTTTATCTTCAAACAACCTTTTCAACCTTTTTTCTAATCACAAAGGTTGGTCTTTCTTCATTCATACCTTTCCTGGATGGACGCACTGAATCTTTGTCTTCACATTGTAGAAGCTAGTAATGGCTGTCTCCACCTCATCCAGCTATAAACAAAATAAAAAAGATTGCAAAACGTCAGGCTATGAATGTTGAAATGCTGATGTTGAGGCTGGGCAACAATAACGCACACAGAGGTTTAGGAAAATTCTTTGGGGCCCCTTATTAGATGGATGATACTTTTGGGAAATTTTTAACCTGATCATTATTTCAATTATATCGTTCACGTAATCACAAGTTGTGGAATCACAGACAGGAACAGAAAACAGCAGGCTGAACCATTACAGTAAACAACTCTAACGCAACCCATGCTGCTGAATTATTTAAATATATACAAAATATACATATATATAAATCAATCACAGACTATACGTGCTCTACCTCTCAGGTCAAAGGTCAAAGAAAAATATTTACTTCATCTTCAAAGGACCACATATAGTTCAGTGTCTCTTAAATGATAATTACAGCAGGGAAGGGAATTAAACTACTTACTGTGTAGTGCTGCTCAGAGGGCACGATTCTCTTGTTCTTTAAAACACTGAAGACACAAAAGACTCATGAGGAAACCAGTGTCAACTAGTGCTGGGTGGTATGATGCTATTGGTTAACACATTTATGTGAGATAGCAGAAATATGTTAACCGGTAGTGTTTATATAACTACACAGCCATTATGGGCTGGACTGCTTTACTTGGGATGTGTCCCAAACTTGTTATTAAGGCATGTGATATGAATCAATGTTTTAATTGTTTATGCTTGCCGAGCAGCATTGTTATTTGCTACATTAAAGGGGTCATATGATGCTGCTAAAAAGAACATTATTTACTGACGTAGACATGTGGGGGCGTGTTAGAACGAGCTGTTTTAGGGGGGTGTGGCTGACTCTTAACTTTTATAAAGAATATCTCTTTGGATTTGAGACTTTAGTCTTTGCAACTTTACAGATCTTCTTTATGCACCAAGAGCTTGTAACACTCCAAAGAGAAAGGAACAAATGAAATTGCATCATATGACCCCTTTAAAGGGATAGTTCAACCAGAAATGAAGATTTTGTCATAATATAATCTAGGACTGCCTTCGACTAAGGATTTTTCTGGTCGACTAGTAGTCGTTCATTTTAAGCATTAGTCGACCAATCGCACGTTTATTAATAAACCATTTAAATCATTATAATGAGCCTTTAATTGCCTATAGCCTAATAAGCACTCAAGCACATGCATAAAGCTTGCCACAGTGCACCGGCAGAAGTAATGATTATGAATGTGTCAGGGAACAACAGTAAGGAGACTGAATTAACATTTCAATAATTTCTTGATAAACTAGTGCTTTCTTTGTTTTCGCCTTAAGAGATGAAGTTGGAGACACTGACACTGACTCGTCATTTCACTCTCTATAGATATAGTTTTAATGTCTGTAAGTCAAAGATATACATGGAGTTTTGCACTCAAGTTCACGGAGACTGAGACAGCAGAAAGCGCATCCTGTTTGCTTTCATTATTTTACAAAAGCGTAATGTTTTGTTGTTATTGTGAGTGCACACAAATAAACGTAGAGTCTTTCCAGATTTGAAAGATGTATTACTCTGATCTGTATGACCAAAAATGACAGAGTATTTTAAGAGCAAGTAAGTGCACCAGCGCCTCCATCTGTCCTGCAGTGAGCACGCTGCTGTTCAGATTCCAAACTCCACACAAACACTTGAACAGCGTACGTTTCTCTAGGTTAACATTAGATTGAGCAGCCATTGCTACTACTTACATATTTCAGATGATAAGCCATATTTGAGGTCGATGAATGATAGTCGAGCATTTGGATGCACTGTATTAACACAAAGACCAGCCGCTAATGATCTGTCCGTCACGGACTGCGTGACTTCGCCAATGTGGACTTTTTAAAATATTTTTTTTTCTGCAACTAAGCAACTAATACAATTTTGGTCAACCAAGCCTCTTCTGGTCGACTAACGATTAGTCAACTATTAGGGAACAGCCCTAATTTACTCATCCTCATGTTGTTTCAAACCTTTATAACGTTCTTTCTTCTGTTGAACACAAAAGAAAATATTTTGAAAAATGTTGGTGGCAGCCATTGACTTCCATTGTATGGGGGGAAAAATACTATGGAAGTCAATGGTTACCAGCATTCTTCAAAATATATTCTTTTGTGTTCAACAGGACAAAGAAATTCATGCAGGATTGGAACAACTTGAGGATTAGTAAATTATGACAAAAGTTTCATTTCTGGTTGAACTAACCCTTTAATATAGAATTTAAATTGAAGTGCGTCACAGTTGTGCATGTAAGTGCTATTTTACAAAAGCTCTGAGTGAGGCTTCAATCTGAATTTTGAGTCAGAAATATCAGTTTTATAATATTAGTTACTTTTTAACTGAAGTGTTACATAATGTCTGTGTGTGATGAAAGAGTTGTCATTTATAAATACTCTCATCTTTTGCTTTGTATCCATCTCACAACTTCCTAATGTACTGAAAGCCACAAAATCAGGTTTTATAAGAACTACTGAAAAACAAGGACTTACTTAGTAAGGTTAAACTTGTGGTACAGCTCAAGAGCTTTGCTGAAGTATTTATGTTGACTGTTCAGAGACTCTGCTTTTGCAGCACAGGTTCCATGTTTTGTCCATTCATATTTCCTAAGCAAAAAAACACACAATAAAAAGTCCATTATTTACTTTAATAAATAAATAAAAAGTACATTTGCAAGTTTTTAAACATACCAAAATTGGGGGGAGGAAGGTGCTCTCAGATCTGGCCAATATTTTTTCATCTCTGGTATTAAGTCCTGAAAAACATGCACACATATCAAGCACATGTCCAATGAACTAAAATATATGACATTCAACAAGGCGAGCAAGGCAAGTAAATTACCTCAATCAAACTGGCATTAAAGTGCCAGGATGTATTGCACCTCATGCCAGAGTTGGGCCTGCAAAAACAACAAACATTTCTACTGACACAAACTATAATCATCCTTACAATCACTGGCATTTTTCATCATTATCCGATGATTATTCAGATCACATGACAACCAGGGTTGCACCAATATAAACATGTGGGGGAAATGTATTATGCATTAATTCGGCAGACGTTTTTATCCAAACACCATTTATCATAGGAGTCAACAATATTGCATGTCAAGTTTAAAGTTTAAGCTAAAGTAGTATAGTATAGTAGCTTTTTGTTTATAGGAAATGTTTTTGTTTATGGTTGTGGATTAGTTAAGTGATTGCGGAAAAGGTCTTCCTGAAGTCGTCGGCTTTAATTATTACTTCAGGGCCCGTATTCACAAAACATTGTATCTTACCACTAAGAGTTCTCCTAAATAGCAGTAAAAGTTTTTAGCAAAGAGTTTTCTCTTAAAACCTATTCACAAAGCTACTGAGACAAACTTGTACTAAGGAATAGACAGAAGTCTTAAGCTAAGAGTAAGGGCGGGGTTGACCTTGTTGCTATGGATAATGTCAGCATTAGGGCTGCACGATAAATCGAAATGGAATCGAGATCGCGATTCGACAGAAGCTGCGATTGTCATGCGTATCGTTAATTGCCACATTCAAATAAAGATTTTAAAATGCAGGCTAAGTGTCACTAATTAAACAAGTAGGCTATATATTATATATATTATATATATAACATTAGATTGAGCTGCCATGTAAAGTTGCTACTACATACATATTTTAGATGATAAGCCATATTTGAGGTCGATGAATGTTAGGAGAGCATATGGATGTCCTGCCTGATGTACTGCATTACCACAAAGACCAGCCATTAACGATTTGTCTGTCACGGACTGCATGCATGATTTCGCCACTTCATGTGGATTTTTTTTTCTGCGACTAATAAAATGTAGGTAATATGCATATAAACAGCCTTTTAATTAGCAGAGTAGAATAATCATGGCTGATAGTAAGACATGCAAACATAAAAGAAAACCAAACTGGACGCGAGAATATTAAGGATATAGGCTAATCAAAAATTTGGAGTTGGGATAACCTCCAAACCAAAGCCGATACCTTTTTAAAAGCTCATTATCGTCAAATGTTTCTAAAATGTTTATATTCCGAGGTAGATTGCTGGCAACAGCCATTTTAGTTCAGATTTGGTCTTAGTGACTTAGGAGTCCTCTTCACTACTCCTAACGTTTCACAGATTTAGGAGCTATTTTAGCGCTAAAACGCTTTGTGAAATACTCTTAGAACAAATATTTAGGAGTCCTAAATTTAGGACTGATACGCCCATAATTTTTTAAGATTTTCTCCTAAATCGGCAAGTTATGAGCTACTTTTAGCCTTAAGATGTTTTGTGAATACGGGCCCAGATATTTAGCCAATATGATGGCTGATATTACAAATCTATACTCTTTAATCATTTTTTTCCCCTTCTTTTTAATTCAGTATGCATTGCAATAAAACAATTTTACTATATAGTCACTGATCATAAACCTACCATAATCCATGCAGAGTCCAAAAGCTTAAATTTGTTGTACATTTTTCCACCTATAAATGAAAAACAACATAATTTATCTCCTGATACCCAGTGGAGGAGCAATATGTGGTGCACCTGCAGTAATGGCAATAAAACAATGGAAAGTAAATGCAATACAATACACTGCAAAATGTCTGTGGCCAATGCTGGGTCAGGATGAGTTTTGTCCATTCTCCCCTAAAAGAAGCAGTCGATTCACTATTTGTGACTTCAGGGTGACAATTGCAATCTGACAAACATTTTGCACAAAACATGGAATCTAAAAACGGCTTCATTTGTATGTGCCTATGCAGAAAATGTGGTAACAGTAGCAAATGCGTATTAAAAGTGGGCATGCAAATAGTTGAAGATCATTAGCCAAATTATTTTAGCTGTAATGCACCAAATTCTCATTTTGTGATTTCTATTATTCTGAATAGTATTTCTCAATAGATTTAGATTTTCATTATCGTACTTTTTATTGGTTTACAATAATGAATACTGTGACAATGTTTATTAGTGGTTGCATTATTTAAATGTCATAAATCAAATAAAATAATTTAAAACAGTACAACAAATACTACCATAATGTTTAAAATAAAATTATTATTATTATTACAGTCGTAATGTTGTGCAAATATTTCACATGCAATCCGTAAACATGTTTTTAGAACATTTCCTCAAAAAAGTACTGGGAAAGAACAATGATTTTCATGACATTTGTGTCAGCATACGGAGCCCCTAAAGGGACACGGTGGTGGGAAAAAAATTTGGGGTGGGAGGAAATTTTTTTTTGCGTTCTCTCGCAAAACTTTTGCGTTCTCTCGCAAAGATATTTGCATTCCCTTTTGCGTTCTCTCGCAAAGATATTTTGCATTCCCTTTTGCGTTCTCTCGCAAATATATTTGCGTTCCCCTTTGCATTATCTTTGCGAGAGAACGCAAAATTTTGCGAGGGAACGCAAAGTTTCTCGAGAGAACGCAAAAAATCTGACAAATATTTTTTCCTCCCACCCCAAATTTTTTCACTCAATCTGATTTTTTTCCACCACCATATCCCTTTAGGGGCTCCGTATCAGCATGACTAGTGTAGACAAGATTCCTAACTCATGAGCCGGTTTTTTTTCTAGTTGAACAAAAATACCTGAATGAATCGGGAATTGTACCAAGAACTGTTAGTGTGTTCTGTTATCATTGCTGTAAAAAGTCATTAAAAAAGTCTGCATATGTATAAATTATTTACCCTTTCAAACGTCTTGTATTGTATATTATGTTTACTCTGTAACCTAAAGTGTATCTTGTTCAATAAAGAAGGGAAATACAAACAGGATTTGTACAATATTGATTGTCCGACTGCACCCAAACTTACATTTTTATCAATAGCCTATGCACAAATATATTTATCTAAATGTATTTAATTGTACCAAGAACTGTTAGTGTGTTCTGTTATCATTGCTGTAAAAAGTCATTAAAAAAGTCTGCATATGTATAAATTATTTACCCTTTCAAACGTCTTGTATTGTATATTATGTTTACTCTGTAACCTAAAGTGTATCTTGTTCAATAAAGAAGGGAAATACAAACAATTTGTATTGATTGTCCGACTGCACCCAAACTTACACTTTTATCAATAGCCTATGCACAAATATATTTATCTAAATGTATTTGCGTGACATACCGAGGATGGGCAAAGGCTGTTGGCCAGAAAAATCCAGCACAAAGTATGACAGCAACTGCAACGAATCTCATTCTTCCAGATGGTGCAAGTCCGTTCATCTTACCGAGGACAAAAGATAATTTATTATCATGTACACTGTAAAAAGAAGAAAGAAAAAAACTTCTATAAGACAAAGTCATAGCATAGAGCAGTGTTTCTCAACCAGGGGTCAGTGGACCCCTAGTGGTCCTTGACGTAAGGCCAGGGGGTCCGTATAAAGTATGAATTTTTGTATAAATTTTGTATATTTTGACATGACATGTTCCCATGAAAGAAAAATCCAATATAGCTGATGATATGGCCAAATACTGGACAAGTCAGCTAACTTGAATTATACTTGACTGCATTTGGTCCTCACAAAGACACAAATGATACATAGATTAGTCAATTTTGTTCTGGGGGTCCTTGAGGATGGTTCTGAATGGATGGGCCAAAAGGTCGAGATTCACTGGCATAGAGCATATCAAAGTTGCGACCAAAAGTAACATATTCAAATGTGAGATAGATACTGTAGATAAATAAATAAACAAGTTAAATAAATAAAACCTTGAACAAACTTACGTTAAGACGTCAGTTACCTGTTATTGTCTGAAATGCCGCCGGTTCAGTTTTTACGTCCTACTGATATGAGAGAGCGCTGGTTTTAAACGTTTTTATTTAGTCTGGGGTGTAAGTCTTAAAGTAGGACTGCCCAGTCACTATCTTTCCGAAACACTGTGCGGTCGAGAGTCACTTCAGAGAGCCACTTCCTTTCCTGACAGAGACACACTGCGGCTTCTGTGCATTGATCGTGTTTACCTTGTGACGTCGCAACTGCGCGTGTGCTGTCAAGTCATGTGATCAACTGCAATTTATGTCACGTGAAGGTGGATTATGCAGATTAAGCAAAAATGTCACAAGCAGGAGCTTTTCTAATGTCATTATTGTTGCAGCTCCTTCTGGTAAATGTTGTATGAACGGGATTCTCCTGAATTGCCACTTTTTGATTTTCTGAAAACTTAAATTTAATAACTTAATACAATTTGTCATTAGAGACTTTAGGAGGCATATTTGTACACTGCACATCGAAAGACAGCTAATGTTTACACATCTTGAAAACCCACACAAATTCATTTCAATGTTGTTGGTAAAAAAAATGGTTAAAATCCAGAATAAAACAAGGCCGTTGTTTGTGTAATAATACCCATGATGGAATATGTTCTTAGAAGATCACTTCAGGAAGCAAGCATTGTCTCTAGATCATACACTCTCTCTTTCTCTCAAAACATTAAACAATAAAAACTAAATTGGTGTTTTATCAATTAAAAAAAAAAAAAATGTTAAAACTGTGGCTTCAAAAATTTTGGACAGAGAGTGCATTACGTCTTTGGGAATTGAGTCTTTCCACTAATTCAAACCAATTAATAGCCTATATTTACTTTTTAAATTATTAATGATTTCCATTGGACTCACCTATCTCTTGTTTTTTTTATAACTCATTCAGTATCCAGCATCAATTTAAAGGTCTGCCTGGTATCTTAATATCTGTGCGAAATGATGTAGGAAGTTGGTGTAAATGCTATATATAGTCTAATGCCTGTCCATAAATGGGATGCGGGAGAGGCAACATTCCGCATGGGTAATAGTTTGCTTTTCATCAGCTGGCCTCTCACAGGCGGGCAGAGGCTCATCTACCTCCGTGTTGCGCTCTTGTATTCTCCTGGGGTGAGTAGCCTATGTCTGGCCCCTTATTTCCACACTTTTGATCCGAAATTATAATGCAGAGTTGTCCTTGTGGAAATACAAAATCGTTGAGGCTGAAGGAAACTTTTGAACTTTACCTTGGTTGGATGTTGATCTGTCTCGAATGATGTTTGCTTGACTGGGCGCTTTGAAAGGATTCATTAAAAGTTGGCAATTAAACCAGTTTCAGTGCTTTGTGAATATGGGTGAATGAATAACTGGACAAACTTTTACACTGTTTTGTTTGTGGAAAAATTGTCTCGTAAAATTGACCTGCTGAATGAAATGACCTTTGAAATATTTGTCGCACTTGTTGATGCAATATGCAAAGAACGAACAGTTAGTTTTTACATGTTGTCTGCCAAATATGTTCATGGAATCTGTGCATATATATATATATAGATAATGTTTAGTATGCACAGTAGATGCTATTGTATGTGGGCTTCATATGTGAATGAGATAATAATGTTGCATTGAGAATGCACGATTATTTGTTTGTGTAATTATTCATCAAAAAGAAATGAGGAATGTGTTGTTGTTTGTATTGTAGTGTAGTTCATTTATCCATAATAGAAGATAAACAGTCATGAGCAGTTGGTTATCTTTCAGTATTTCAGGACATTTACACAATAATAGCTTGTCATTAATGTACACCATGGAATACTGTACCCATCTCCTTGGACTGTCTGATATCCCAACCCCCAACCTCTAATTTTAAACTGCCCTGAGTTTTGGCTTCCTTGAGGCCCAAAGCTCCAGAACACCCCCTCCTCTTCATCTCCACAAACAGGTCCACTTTCCTAACACCTAAATCATATCAGGAGTAGGCCAAATTCTGCAAATTGTGCTACGAAACTGTTTCCCCAATAATGTGAATTTATGCATCTTTCAATGAATGCATTTTGTTTTGTCTTGTGTGCAAAAACGCTGCATGTTTTTTGTTCCAGGTTTTATTCATAGGTTCTTGGGGTTGTCAAATATGGCTGCAGTTGTTGCCAGACACAAGCATTTCGGTCAAGAATACCTCAGTACTGAGTCTAAATATGTTGTTCGGGAATACTCCAGGTAAGGTAAAAAACAAATACAGCAGCAAGTTCAAGTCTAACGAATCATCGCAGCTAATCATGATGTTCACGGCAATACTAAAACTACTTGTAATAAAATAGTAATATCATGTATAACATATAATAACATTGTTGGAGCTCTGCTAATACACCCTATTACCTACAGTAGCTGAACTATAACTGATCCCTTCATGTCACTACTGTCCTCTGGGTAGTTGGAAGTTGACAAGGCCTGCAGTGTGATATGCTATACTCCATGTAAAACTCTTTTCTAATTATGCATGGGGCTTATGTGACCTCATATTAGTGAGAGAGACCACAGGCTACATTTATCACACTGCAGGACCATTTCAATTGAACTGAAGGTGATTAAAATGGTCAACAACTGAAAATAAATGGTGATCAGTTACAGGGCCTAAGGTATATACTTTAACTTGACCAATCATATATATTTTATGGACACATATTGCACCAAATACCCAGATTCTGCCTGGAAACAATAATACATTTCAGATATAATATAAGCTTTGACATTAAAACTGGTTAAGGATAAGAACGTGGTATGGTAATTACAGTTATTTTTGTTCATTAAAATTAAAAACTTTAAAATGATATTATATTATAAATGTATTATTACCAAATTAATGATATTATATATATATACAGATATTGCCTGGAAACATTTTGCTTTCATTAGTACATTTTAGATACATATATTGAGTTTGATAAGCTTTGTCATTAAATTGGTTGTTTAAGGATGAGAACGTGGTATGGTAATTATATATGGTTATTATATATAGTTATTTTTGTTCATTAAAATTAATTAGATAACTTGTCCTTTAAACAAATCTGCTTTTGTTCTGATATATCAAAATATACTAATTTTGATCATTTTAGGGCATTTTATGTTAGTGAAAAAAATAATTCCACACCAAAGCAACATTGTGATGGTGGTAGTTATTGTTTGCCCTCTGAGGGGTCAAAAGGTCAATATTCTTTTTTTTTTTAATTGTAAGTTAAAACCTATAATTGCTAATTCATGTGAACAATGGGTAAAGATGATCAAATATCAAATGCTTTCTTTTTTTTTTCTTTCCACTTAAAACTGTGTTGCTTGAGAAATGCATGAATTATTATATGCTTTTGCATGTTTGAATGCATATCAAAATGAATTAACTGATTGTTAACCTGAGATGACATGGAGCATTGATGAATCCTGATCTCTGTTTCTCTCATGCTGCTTGTATAGAGTAATGCTTTGAGCATACTATTATCATTTTATTATAAACTTTTAGAAAAAAGGTACAAAAGTGAGTCACTGAGGCGGTACCCTTTTAAAAGGTACTAATATGCATGTATTTTAGGCACTAAAACATATTTTTAAAGTAGTAATATGTACTTTTAGAGGTACAAAATTTAACTTTTGTACCTTAGGGTCCCGCCTCAGTGACAGTTTTGTACCTTTTTTGAGAGTGTATGGAAATGTGTGTGTTTTTAGCTCTGCGGCAGAAGAGGTGAAGTATCAATACCAAACACAGAAGAGAATCCAGGGAGTGGTAAAGCCCTTTAAACAATCATTCCTTTCCTTTTTTTGACATGCTTTTGTTACAGTACTTTCATTAGTCAACCTGTATTTTAATGTACTTTAAAGACTTTTGCTGTTACCTGTAATAGACCGAGTGAAACGCAGGTTAAATAGGACTGACTCTATCTTGGGATGTATATTTTTTCGTGATCACTTCTTATGATCCAACAGCTCAATAAATTGTTTGTCTCCTTTCATCAGGTGGAGAAGAAGATGCCTGAGAAATACATCCGTGAGGAGTCCATGATCAGGGGCCCCAAGTTTGTGGTTAGACTGAGGTCCCATACAGTGTATGAAAACAGTGCTATTAAACTTTTCTGCACTGTGGAGGGATATCCCACCCCACAAGTCAAATGGTGAGATGCCTCCTGTTCGCTAGGGTTGAGTGCAGTTGCTCTCAAATCTCCTCTGGTGTTATACAGTTTCACTTTAACATTTCATAATATTTGTAATCATGTATAGAGAAACTCCAAGAGGATCTATTGTTATTATATCATAAATATTCTACAGGTTCAAGGATGATGTCATCTTGGATATTTCTTCTGGAAAGTACTTTGTGGAGAGCAATGCTGGATTCCATGCCCTCTCCATCCTCAAGTAATTTGAACTTTTCTGTGTGATTTTTGGACTTTTTAGTGATGCATCGGCAGAATGTGGTTTACTGATGAGCTGTATTGAACAGAAATGAGTGACAATCTTGAATGAGTGACAAGACTCATTACATGCTCACTTCCTAGTTATTAATTGGCCACAGAAAGCAGGAAACTTTCAAAAAAGAGACTTACAAGTTATTAAACTTTTAAAAAAGTTTTGTCTAGCAGGAATATGAGAGAGAGAAAAAAACATGTCCAGGTTGCATTTCACTTAAATAGATATGCATATAGATAGATCATAGCCTATTTTAGATCCAGTAAGATTTTGCATTGTGACACTATTATATCTTCACCACTAGGTAAAATAGATAAACAAATAAATAAAAATCCCCCTAAATTCGTAATGCGCCTGAAAGATTTACTTTTTCCCTCAGTGGTTATTAACCTTTATTTAAATCAGCTAATTAAATTAAAGGAAGCACAACAAATACATAAATAATGTGCAAATAATTAAAATAAAGGCATGATTTTTTTTTTACAGTAATGACATTAAGAAAAATATGCTTACTTGTCCTGATATTCTCATGCATATTAATAATCCCAAAATATTCTTCATTTTCTTAATGCATTTTCTTACAATAGTTTAGGGTGCAGTGAATCCCCAAAGGACAAGCTCTTGATAGGTTTCATGTGGTTCACCCTCTAAAACACAATAAAATGTAACTAACAAGTGAATTTCCACAAAAGGAAGTCACGTCACTGGGATTGCATGTGAACTTTTCCAATTTAGTCCAGGGCCGGTCAGTGTGCCGCCTACGTCTTGAGCTCCTGTCAGCTGTTAATGTCAGAGTGCTGAGTTTGGTGTCATCTGACACTCTGGCGCCTTACAGAGAGATGACTTTCACTGCTGTCACCCTGTCAGTCCCACAAAAACTCACCCCGGCCCTTATGTCACATTCCTGACGGCTTCTTGCATTCAGTGCCCAAACCTCACAGGTGAAGCTTGGCGTTCCACATTTCATCTAAAATGGCCAAACCTTTCACTTTCTGACACACAGCCATTCTCCTCAAGACCGCAGGGGCCAGGGCTCTAATATAGTACGGTCACTCTGAAGGTCACATTACAGTCTTCTCATTTTCTTGTCCTTTGCGTCTCGTGTTTGCTATTCAAGCCTCAGAGCCTCCCGTGTTGAACACGTTCTGAAAACAGGCACTGGTCTACATTAGCATTTAGTTTGGAGCAATTATCCTCTTGACATTAGAGCATTAGTTAACTGCCAATTTATCCATCACGATGGGGGAAGCACTTTATGTGCTTTCCAAAAGTCAATTAGGAAATGACTGTGGCATATATCCAATCAAATAGCAATCATGCTGATTATTTATTGACTGATTAATTAGTGGAGTGGGTGAAGCGGTGTTGAGATCCAGCCGTGTATTGATTGAAGTTGTAGACACCTGTGAATGAGTTATGCGTGCTTTTGTAGGTGTGCAACTGATGACACTGCGATGTACACGGCTGTAGCCTCAAACACTCATGGACAGGCCTCCACCCAGGCCTCCATCATTGTGAAGAGTAAGACTTTTTTTCCTGTTTTCTGGAATCTAAGCATATCGAATAGAGAACCAAATTTAGACTATGAATCCTTTCTTTACAAAGTCACTATATACTTTCTTTTTGTGTCGACTTCATAGGGTGCAAAGAGGAAGAAACGTCCACTCCTTATTCCTGGATGCCTTACCAGTGTAAGTGTGAAGGCCTCTATTCATTAGAATATCTGGTATGATTTAAAAACAAGTCATGAAAGACAGGAACTGTTTTGCTGTTTCTCAGATGTCATTTTACCTGAGATCAAGTATACGAAGATTAACATCACCTTCACTGAGACGTTTGACGTGACCTTTGGAAAAGAAGGCGATAAGGCCACTTTGACCTGCAAGATGACTATTAACCCCAACCTTGCTAACCTGCAGCCTGAGGCGATGTGGTACAGAGATGGTAGGAAGTGTCCAACAAAGGCTAACACAAAAACGTTTTTGTATGCATGCGCGATTATTGTTAATAAAGGACACAGGACACTGGACTGCAACGGTCGTGATATGACGTCACGCTCTGCAGCATCTTTTTAAAAACCTAAATTCAACAAATAACCAACAATAATAAATGTATGTTCTTTTAATTCAGCTACGAGGTCATGCTGTGACATATCGATCTTCTATTGGTCACACGGTTTCACATGATACGAATTTACAGGTTGCAGTTCACCATCAACTTGAACTTTGGAACGCAGAGAAATGCGAATTATCTTCACATCTTGTATGTGTGAATGAAAGTCAAAGGGATGAAAATTGTAGTGTGACCAGTCCCTAAGAATTCATTGATTACATATAACTACAAGATCTACAGTAGCTGCTGAATATGAAATAAACAGTAATTTTTTGCACCAAAAAGAATAGGGAAAAAAGGACTGTTTTCAATCCCACATTATCTGTTGATTAGCCAACAAACGTCCCGCCCCAAATGCATATTATTGCTTAAGCTAGTGTTTTATGATGGCTGCTCAAACAAACAGATTGCAATTCCATTTTATGCAGCTAATGACGCAGAAATTACGCATTTTGCCTATATGCAACAATGTAAATACTGCAATTAATTTAAAATGCTTTTCATTTAGCCATTAGAGTAGTTTCACGATCATTCATTGTCTTGGTACACTGCTCTTATTTAATGATTTGTATCAGTCATCACTCAACATTTAATGGAAGTTCACAAAAGCGGAATTTTTTTTCGTATTAAAATATTTTAATTAGTGCTGGGCAACAAATAATCATGACTGATCACATTTAAAAACATAAAAGTTTTTGTTTATATAATATGTGTGTGTGTATTTATTATGTATATATAAAGACACACACATACAGTATATTTTTTGAAAATATTTACATGTTTATATTCATATAATATTATATATAAATATATTTAATATGTAAACATAACATATTTTTCTTAAATATATACATGCATGTATATGTATTTATACATGCATAATAAATATACAGAGTACACACATATATTATGTACACAAAACTTTTATTTTGGATGTGATTAATCACTATTAATCGTTGCCCAGCACTGATTTTAATAAAATAAATTATTGCTATTTATTGTTATATTAATATTTGTTCTACACTTTTCGTGTATTTTACATCTACAAATGCATAAATAATTATTTTTATATTAAATTATGAATATATTTGGATCTAAATACTGTATTTCAAATAGCTACACACAGTAACTGTCCTAATGACAGCTGCATTTATTTATTGTGGCATTCACCCCTGGTCATATATTAATTTTCCGGTTGTTCTGTAGGGGATTGTTTTGCAGTCGAGTTGTGTACAGAACAAAATGACTTTTTATGTCCATTTGTAGTTTATGACTCATTTCACTCCAATCTCATTTCCAGAATCATCAGATTACACTTTCCAGATCTGCAGTCTATTCTGCAAAATAAATAGTTTCATTTTCTCTCCTCTGATACCCCATGTTGTGTTTTGGGCCCTCCAGAGCACCTCCTGAAAGAGTCGAGGTGGGTGAAAATGGAGTCTGGCGGAGGTGTTGCCAAGCTCACGCTTACTCAGCTCGCTAAGGATGATGAGGGTCTTTACACCCTCCGCATGGTCACCAAGGGAGGCGATGCGGTCCACAGGGCTTACGTCTTCGTTGATGGTAAAGAGTTGTGAACTTCTCCAAGGCTTGTTGAAAATCTTATGTGATTCTTTTGCTGGCCTTTAAAGGTTTGGATTAGCATAATTCATCTCATATAGCGCATACATCTGTTTCGGAGTGATTCCCTCTGCCGCGGAAGGCCCCATCGTTGGATACTTTGTTGACAGGTGACTGCGCTGACTAAGGTGTCTTCCCAGTGGGAGTTATTTTATGGAATACATTTATGAAAGTTGTTTGATACAGTGGCCTCAAAAAATATTTGGACACTTTAAAATGTCATTGCATTAGATAAGAAAATGTCAAATATCTGCTCGACTGTTTTCTGGAATTCACATTTCTGAGCCAGTTTTTCAGTAGCTTTTAATTAACTGGTTTGTCACAATACTTTTTTGAACTGCACAATAGGAATTCACTATGTGAATGAAACTTGC